GGGGGGAAGCTGCCGGTGCCTGGGGAGCATCTCCCAAACCTCCCAAACGGGATTTTCCCTCCAGAAATTAAACTAATTTCTTAAGTTTACTCCTTCACCTCTGTTTTTTTTTATAATTTTAAGGCAGCACCGGTGACCAGTATCGGCACCGGAGCGCGCCCAGATGCCTGGTGATGGGCTGTGCCGGTCCAGCGGCGCCGTTTTGCAGGTTTTGAGGCTGAAACAGATAAAAAAGTGGGTTTTTTTGGGGGGAAAAAAATGGTTGGGAAGGGGAGAAGGGAAAAGCTCAGCGCTGGGCGCTGCGGAGACGCTCAGCCCCTATTAATCCGCCTGCAAATGTCTGGTTTTAAATATAAGAAGCGTTTGGTTTCGAGGTGGAAAAGGCTTTTTGAGCCCGTGGTTGATGATTCCTGACGTTACAGCCCGGATCTGGCGGATCCGCAGGTAACGGAAGAGCGGGAGAGGGGAAGAGGAAGGTCGCAGGGGATGCCGGCATCCGGGGACGCGGTGAAGAGTGTGGTGGGGATTAAAATGCCTACGGGGGAGCCGGGGTGTTGGGAAGAGGAGCGGTGGGATTCCTCGGGAGCATCGTGATGCCGGGCTTGGGCGGTCATGGATCTGGATGGGTGTCCGTGGCTCCAAATGGGCATCTACGGCTCTGGATGGGTGTCCATGGATCCGGGTGGGTGTCCATGGATCCCCATCGGCATCCACGGCTCCAGATCGGCATCCACAGCTCCAGACGGGAGTCCATGGATCCGGATGGGTGTCCACGTGCAGCTCCGGACGGGCATCCACAGCTCCAGACAGGAGTCCATGGATCCGGATGGGTGTCCACGGATCCAAACGGGCATCCACGGATCTGAATGGCCATCCACGGCTCAAGATGGGCGTCCGCAGCTCTGGATGGGCATCCACAGATCCGGACGGGTGGCCCACGGCTCCAGATGGGCATCCACGGCTCCAGATGGGCATCCACGGCTCCGGATGGATGCCAGGCGTGAACCCACCTTCCAGAAAGACCAAGACCTGACGTCTTCTCCCGTCAAGAGGGAAAGCGCGTGGCAGGGCTTCACCGCTCATCCCACCGATGCCGGAGAAGGAGGAGGGACAAGAAGCGGAGACAAGTTTCTCCGGCAAACGCTCCCTACGGATAAGACACATCTGGGCG